TGCAGACAGAGACCAGAGACTTCACTTATATTCTAGCTTAGCAACATGGCACAAAAAGAAGCTTTGCAGCAAAGTTTTTTTTTTAATGTATTTACTTATTGTTTGTGCCAGGCTTTTCCACCCTGGCTCTCTGGAATGGGTCACTATATGAGCCACAGCAGTCATCATTCTGAGTTGTTACGACTCAATAAGCTCTGACTGATCCATCGGATGTCTTTTGGGAACAAAGCAGACGTCTCCCATCCCCTCCACAGCAGGGCAGGCTGATAACCGAAGGATCTCAAAACTAAGTAAGTTGTGAGCTAGTACTACTGAAAGAAAAAGATGTATAAGAAGGCAGAATGTGTATTTTTATAGATCCAGCAAGGATCTGCATAATAAATGATTTAATTAACATAATACCTGTGCGTGGTGGTGCCTTTCTTTCCAATAACAAGGGCATTTCATTAGAAACTGATGGGGAACAACATACAAAATGCAGAATGCAGAACAACTGGGGGAAGAATGATCTCAACTCCAGCTGAGAGCAGAGGATGTGACTGAAAGCTCCATCAAGCCCAGTGCAGTTTAATCTGTGCTTTTATTGCTCAACTAGCAGCTTGATGCTCACCAGTGTAATGCACTCTATATTACCAAAGTGAGAGTTCCTGCATTAGAGTGACAGGTTTTATTGCGCTTTTAATTGTAAAATAACAATGAGTAAACCTGGGACAGATTGGGGTGATATTCATTTATCCAGAGCCCAAATTCCACCTGAGTGACAGTTACATGAAAGCCTTCAGAGTGCAACAGTGAAAGCTTTCTTCTCTGTCAACAACATCTCAGGAAGGGGCACTCGAGCATTTGACTGGATCTCAGAGGTGGGAAGCAATGAAGTACAAAGACTTCATGACTGTACTTAAGTACATTTTTCAGGTATCTGTACTTTACGTTAGTATTTACTTTTCTTTTTACTTTCTACTCCTTACATTTTATGTGTGTTGCTAACCAAAGTTCCAGCTGCTGTATTTCACAGCACAGCTAACTTCTGTATAAGAATTTCTTTTATTTATGTATTAATCACATTATTTTATTGTATGATGCCTTGGTGCCACTGAATTTTAGCACTTCTCACACTCATGCAGTTGGTGGGGGTCTGGTAAGGAAGTTGGGGGAAGCAGACAACTCCACCGGAAGAATCTTTTGTCTCTTCCACATGTTTGGGAGGTAGCAAGGGAGTGTGAACCTTACGGTGTCGGGATGCACCGATACCGATACTGGTATCGGGTATCGGGGCCGATACTGTAAAATGTTTGCGTACTCATACTCGTAAAAGTTAACCGATACCATGAACCGATACTAACTTATTTCATTAATCAGAGGGTGGCTTGTCATTTTTGTTGTAGTTTTTTAGATTGGCCACTA